CTGCTAAAAAAATTTATGGCCATAGCGAGGGGAAAATCAATAGAGCATGGTCGGTTTATTCTAGAACTAAGACATTTAGGAATTGAAGAAAACTTGTGTAATCATAATTGAACATACTAAAAACTAAATTCGAGATCACACTATGATAAATTAACACGAGGATCTGAATTGTACGGTAACCATGTTCGTGAAAGGTAATTACGGATTAATTAATCCTTCTAGAGAATTGGATAGTCATAATACATTGCTAAATGTCAATATTGATTTATGTATCAAGAGGTAAAAGAGATGTTTTTTATTCTTGATACATCATCAACATATTAAGGAGTCTATTGAGTCACACGCATAAGTTTAAGCATTGACATAAAAAAGAGAAGCAAAGATTTTGAAAAATATTTATAGTTTTGGAAGTTTTTTATTTTGGAAAAAATTTTCAAAAAATGGAAAGTTTTCTATTTTAGAAAAAATTTTCTAAAATAGAAATTTTTCTATTTTAAAAATCAATTTCCTAATTTGAAAGTCAATTCCAAATTTAGAAGTAATTTACCTAAAAAGAAAATTAGTTTCTAAATATATGTTTAAGGGTAATTTAGAAAATTGTTCCCTAATATAGGCTTCCTAAAATGCCTAACCCAATTTATTTGGATGGTCTAAATTAATTGATAATTAATTGAGATAATAGGATTAATTTAAAAACCTGTAAGATATTTTAGTGGGAGGATAAACTTGACCTTTATTGGATAAGGATCATGTTTTATAAGGATAAGATAAAAAAAGCTCACATGCATTACAACTCCTAATCCTTGGACGATTAGGAAGTAACGACCTAGAGTCTTTTTTAGGCTTGTTGGCGCAACTTCCTAGTCCTTGGAGGACAAGGAGGCCACCTCCCTTATAAATAGAAGGGGAGGTGTGGCAAAGAGAGACTAATGCATAAGGCATACACGACATAAAATAAAAAAATAAAAAATAAATTTCTCTCTCTAAAAACACGTCAACTCTCTCTTTCTCTCTTAGAGTTGTTGCAAAATATCTCGGAATAGATTTCTAAAGAGAAAAAATTAAACAAGTTAGAAAAAAGGAGAGTTGGCACTCTACAACTTCGAGCGCTTCTTACGTGGACGCTTGGACTGCGTAGATTATTAATAGCGATCGGACACTTGGATGACTCATTTTCTACAAAGGCTAGATTTGTGTTACAAGAGGTAATCCTTTACTCATGCTTTAATTCATGTATGCATGGTTAATTGATTCAACAACTTGGATCTTGAGTCTCGGATGAAAGAATTTTTTTTGTTTTATTCCGCACCTTCATAGGATGCATGATCCTTGAGTATCCGTTTCGGATGAGAGAACATTTGTTCCACTAATTATCATAATAAAAAGACATGTATTGAATAAAAACATTCTTTAGAGATCGCCTTTGTCCGATCAACATCAACCACGATAATGTTAACGCCATCAAAGAACAAGTCACATCAAGAATATATGTCTTTCAAGTTGGCATTGATAATTATCAACAACAACAAAAAAAAAGACCATTCTACTCCTTTTATCATGCAATTTGATAGAAACCTTATCTATTTAAAAACTCTAACTACTAAGGAATTTAGGTTCTTGAGTCTTGTTTGGTAGCAAGGAATGAAAGTTGTATTTCTATTTTGTAGATTTTTTATTTAAATAAATAAAGTGAAAATAAAAATAAAAATTAGATATAGTTTCATTTCCATAGAAGATGTGAGAATAAAAACAAGGAATGAAAATAAAAGTTCTCTTTCAAAATAATGATATATTATTTTTATTTATTGGGTTTCAACTATTTTTATAATCATCACCACCACCATTACTCCCATTGGCGGTGGTTATAAAAAACTTTTGAAAAAGATAAATTATTATTATTATTATTGTTCCACCACAACTCTTCCTCCTCCATTATTACCACTTTTATTATACCACAACCACCACCACTCTCCTTTTACTTTTTTAAAATATATTATTACTACTACTATTCGTTATTACTATCACCACGACCTCCTCCTCTTTGTGCTCTACCATCGTTATCGTCATAATTACTTATATCATTTTTACTACCATCATAGTTGATGAAATAATTTATTTAATTATTATTTTTATTTATCTTAAAATTAGATATTAAAAATTTAAATTTGATTTTGATTCCTTATCAACATTTCTAACACATTGTTGAAATAAAAAAGATCATTTTGATTTTTTTTAAAATTTTTATTTTTATTTTTACATTTTTATTTCTGGTAACCAATCGATACACTAATTCTCCACTCTAAAAAATATATATACTATTTATTATCCATACCATTCACGTAGAGACACAAAAACTCTTCTCTCTGATCACTTGATCATTGGAGGGTCTCTTAACTAATCACGAAGACTTCCTTTTTAGGTACATCATGCAGAAAGAAAAACCAAGAAATGACTAATCTCTATAGCCCATCATTAGCCATCAAGAACAACGTCCTTTTTAATTATTGTTTGAGTTCTTAGAACTCATCAAGTATATGATAGTTTTTATATTTTATATTTTTATTTTTTGGCTAAAATGGCGAAACCTACTTGAACTTTAATCTATTTAAAAATTAATTTTTGAATTTCTAATTTTTGTTTTAACCTTTCTGAATTTTATTTTTTTAGATTTAGTCAATCCTTTAGTTTTTTGTTATTTATCCAAAAAAATAACAATTACAAAAATAGTTTTATAATAAAAATCATTGAGTGAAATTTATCTGAAGTTCCTAAAAAATTTGGGATCATTATGTGTTATTATTATTATTATTTTATACTTTTAATGTTTAAAAAATAAACAAATATAATTTCGATCTTAAAAAATTTTAGATTTTTTTCTAGAAAATAAATTAGATTTTTGTCTAACGTGTATGCAAAACTTTCATATCAAAATACCAAGAATTGAATTTTTTAGAAGATAGCGGTCATAGTTAAAAATTATAAAATGGACCAAATCTTTTTTTTTAAATAAATTTTAAGAAAATCAAAACACAAATTAAAATTTCAGAAATTTATTTTCAAATGAACTAAAGTTTAGAAGAAACTAGAGTTTTGACCCGTGCTACGCTGCGAGGTTGAATAAAATATATAAAATCATTTAAAAAAATTATTTCGAGTTTAATAATCTGTTTTATGGTAAAAAGTAATTATAATTTTTTAATCAAAATTTTTTTATTTAACTATTTCTTAATTTTTTTTTAAATTTTAGAAGTAAATATTTTAGAAATAAATAATAAAGAAAATAAATTATTGGTTTCTTTAAAATTTTAACGTCCAATTAATTGTTGATTTTTTTAAAATTTTAACATCTAACATTATTAAAAAAATAAAAATTAAAAAAGTTCAATTTTTAGTAAAAAAAAAGGGGGCAACCGTTTACTTGTTCAAATGAACAATAGAAAGAACAAAAGGGAAAAGAAGGCCAACATTGGCAAAAAAAAAAAAATGAAAATTAAAAAAAAAAAGCAATGTAACAATTAACAGTGATGCTATAATGAAAAACTATTTTATTTTAGTTTATAGTATAATATAATAATTTATAAAAAATGCCTAGTTTTTTTTTCCGGGAAATCGGAATACATTATTTAGATGCATGAATGATGCTTCATTTCAGTAATATATCCAATAAAGAAAAAAACATGAAGGAAATATGTGGCAAAGAGTGCCTCCCAAGGCATATGCTTGTTCTCTCTTTGTGTTATTCCTTCTTCCAAAATTTTCCTTATATATTCTTCGACCACACGGACAAGATCACCCTTCACTAAGACCCAACTCAACCATCACAATCGTGATCTCCATCATGGCAATCAAACCAAATCAATGGACCCCACTTATCCATGTGGCCTTCTCCTTTTTTGCACAAGTGTTCAAAAACAGTTTTAATGAACTTTTTGTCTACTTATTCTCCATTTCACCCTCTCTCTCCCTCGCTGTCCATTGTTCCGTAGGATTATTTATCTTTTCCTTCACAAAATAAGCTCCAACGAATTTGGATCCAATACTCTACTCTCCATCTCTACAATCATCGCTTCATCACCATCTCAAAATATTAAGAAAAGGGTACAAATCTGTGATCTCTTCCTGCCATTTGATTTGGGTTTCTTTGATTTTCAGTTCCATAATAATAATCAGTGCAATTTTGTGTTAGTACTAGCCATCATATCCAAAAGCTCTTAACTTTTCTTTTACTTGCTTATGTTTCTCTTAGATTCTGCAAATTCTTTTTCTGAGTTCATTTTGTTCTTTCACATCACCTTTGTCCTGCTTGGATTGGTCGCTTAGACAGTGTGCTAAAGCGTTTTTTTTTTCAAAAAAAAAAAAAGAGGTGAAGTTATGGAAGATGGGATTTTCATTTTCAGTTTCTACTGATGTGGGATTTTTATCAGAAATAGAATTTTATTACTTCCAGTTATATTAGGACGTTTGGTAATGGAAATGTTTTTAGTTACTAGTTCCTTGATTAGTAATTCTTGGATTCTAATTTTCTGCTATATTTTTTTTCATTTGCTGAATGTCTCATGCCTTTTGAATTCAGTTGATGGATTCTCTAGCTTTTTTTTTATTTTCATTAGTTCGTTTTGGTTTTGTTTGGGGGCTTTATAAATTATGTTTACAATATATTCTTCTTCTATTTTAATTTTTCATTTACAATACCGTGTTTCCAGTCTACCCTTAAAATTATTGCCTACAAAACAAACTTTAACCAGTTGCTTTGTTAGCACTCGTCCAAATTTTAAGGGTAGCCGAAATTATGAAACTTTTTAATTCTTACCGTACCTTCAATGACAATATTAGTGATTCATCATAGAAACTGATGACTTTTGCATAATTGGCCATTTAATTCTTTTTGTTGGATATAATACCTTGGGCATGAGTTGGTAGTGAAGTATGTTATTGATACTTGTTGCTGTAGTTGAATTGAATCTTTTATGTACAGGGTTAAGGGTTGTGACAGAGAAGCTATGGATAGGCTCAAGGCTCCTGCTCGCCTTATGATAGTTTCGGATCTTGATCATACAATGGTAGGTCTCATAATTGTTTGGTTTCTACTTTTTTCATTTATATTCTTGTGGCTGCTGTAATTTTATTGAACAATATGCTCTTTTTGCAGGTTGATCATCATGATCCTGAGAACATGTCTCTTCTTAGGTTCAATGCGTTATGGGAGGCTTGTTATCGTCAGGATTCCCTACTAGTTTTCTCCACTGGAAGATCACCTACACTTTACAAGCAGTTGAGAAAAGAGAAACCCATGTTAACACCTGATATAACCATAATGTCTGTGGGAACTGAGATCACGTATGGCACCTCTATGGTGCCTGATGATGGTTGGGTTGAAATTTTGAATCAGAAATGGGATAGGAACATCGTCACTGAGGAAACGAGCAAGTTCCCTGAACTTACTCTTCAGGTATGTTAAACACTTATGAATTTAGTTCTCTGATTGTTTTTGTTGCGATGAAAATGAGCATATAGTTTGGTGCGTTGGAAGAAAACAGTTGGCTACTTGAAATCTCTGAATAAAAATCTATGGGGTAATGCAGTCAGAAACAGAGCAACGGCCACACAAGATCAGCTTTTATGTTGATAAGGCCAAGGCTCAGAACGTGACGAAGGCGCTATCAGAGATATTTGCAAAACGTGGGGTGGGTTTCTAGTTTTGGGACCTTTTTCCTTGCCCCCTAATTTTGTGTTCTTTTTAGTAAAAGTCTACAGGTGTTGCTGTATCTAACTTAATTTTTAAATCTCTTCTTCTTCCTCTCTCCCTCTCTTTGTTTTTTTTTTTTTCCTAGTTGGTTGTCAAAATAATTTATAGTGGTGGAATGGACTTGGATATACTACCCCAAGGTGCTGGAAAAGGGCAAGCTCTTGCATATTTACACAAGAAGTTTAAATCTGAGGGAAGACTACCTGCCAATACTCTTGTTTGTGGTGATTCTGGAAATGATGCTGAGCTGTTCAGCATTCCAGATGTACATGGAGTGATGGTGGGTATTTACGCTCTGCCATGTCACTTCATTGGGAAATTGAGGTTGCCTTCATAGGTCATGTTTCTGTTAAGTATTCATTCATTGATTTATTTGTTTAGGTTAGCAATGCACAAGAAGAGTTGTTGCAGTGGCATGCTGAAAATGCTAAAGGCAATCCTAAAATAATTCATGCAACTGAGAGGTGTGCAGCAGGGATCATACAAGCTATAGGTCATTTTAACCTTGGCTCCAATACTTCTCCAAGAGATATAACCAACCTTTTGGACTCTGAGTTGGAAAATGTCAGTGCCAGTAGTGAAATAGTGAAATTTTTCTTGTTCTATGAAAGATGGAGGCGTGCAGAGGTTGAAAACTCTCAGCTATATTTGGCAAGCGTGAAAGCTGATTGCGTATGTTTAGTATCCTCTTTTCTTTTGATTCTACATGTTGCTCTAGAAGACTTTGTGGACATTTTTTCTTTCCTTTTCTCTGTGAAGTATTTTAACCTATAAGTATTAGGTTTATACAAACTACTAAGCAAGAAACAAACATGTCTGTCATTCTTTTGTGGTATAAACAATGCACAAGATTCATCTGCATTTCATATTCTTTTGAGGCTGTTAATATTTCTGCTGAGCATTAAATTATCCAGGTGAGGTTTTTGGGTTGAGTTCTTTTGTTTTTCCTTCAGGAGGATAAATATATTGCTAAGACTGTTAAACTGTTATAAATGGAAAGTCTGACCCGTTGTGCTTGACCATGAAAGTTTTTGATACTTGTTCTCCATATGAATAGCCTTGTAGTTGATGAACAGAAAGTAAGCTTGAGGCTGTATGGTTTTTAATCCTGTTAAGCCATACAATCTGAAGGTTTGAATGAGCGGAGTTTCACCTCGACAATACTAATCCACCTGCTTACCTCTGGAGTCAAAGTCCAGGGTGGATTTATGTAAAGATAGTAGAGCTATGGGGCATTTGTGATAAATTAGTATCCATATTAGATTGGCACCTGAATGTTGTCTCTTAGAAGGTGAATTTTGCAAAACAAGCAGAGCAGCAACAATTTTTAAGTCTTTTACATCTGATAAATTCTAATATATCCAACATAATCTTATTTGCTGGTGTTCATGAATGCACCGTCTGATTTTATTATATACATGTATTTTGCTTTTCCAGAGTCCCTTTCTTCAGTTAGCCTGATGTATTTTTTCCCCTTTCTTTACAGGATGCATCTGGTATTCTTGTCCATCCATCTGGTGCTGAGCTTTCTCTTCGTGATGCTGTGAATGGAATGGGGAGCTACTATGGTGACAAACAGGACCAACAATTTCGGGTTTGGTTGGATCGTGTACTATCTACACAGACTGGTTTGGATACCTGGCTAGTAAAGTTCAACAAGTGGGAGTTATCAGGTAAGACCTCCAAATGATACTGATTGCATTATCGAAAAGGATGATGATATTACGTCCCTTCTCTCCATGCATTTTATTATGTATTTCTGCACCAATTGAGACTAATGATACACTTTCCTCTTTTCAATGCCATCTATGTAATTTCTTTGCTTTGTCCGAATGCAAGGTTTTTAAATTTTTAACTTATACTTCATCCAATGTAGTTGGTTTGCAGAATGGTCTTGGACTTATCAGGGATCTCTTTTCAACTGGATCCTTGGTTTTTATTCGTAGTCATACAAATGCCTTCACATTGGTTGCTGTAAACAAGGTGAAAGAACCTTTAGGACTTGACCTGCTTAGGAGAGCGACAAACATGTCTACTATTATGCTTTATTTTAACTTGGGGGTTAGAATCCTGTAGAACCTTTATTTGCCAAAAGCCATGGTCAGTGAACATTCTATCTGCTAGAAAAGAAGCCATGCACAGAACAATTAATCGTATCTTCTATGGACAGCAATAACATTCGTGAGCTGCTCTCTCCTCTCTATGATTACATGGCTCCACAGTTTCCTCATTTGTCTGAGTTCTATATGAGCTTTGTCTCCGGAGATAAAGTGTGGTTCCTAGACACTCAATAGTAATGGGAAATCTCCTAAACATAAACTAGCTCAACCTCTGAAGTATATCTACAGAGTCCATATTAACATAGTGGTAAAGTATCTGGTGCGACACTTTCAATGCACTTAGACTACCGGTTTTTGGAGTTGGTGTTGGAAAATTTGCACTGGCAATCGGGTTTGCAGACAATTAATTTCTTGTAGTTATATGTTTATTTGAATAATTTTTTTTATTTCTTTATTGGCGTAGATTACCTGCATGCCCATTTAAATTTATGTCCTGATAAGTAAAAGCTTTGATAACAGGGATTTCTTGATCATTAGTGGAGCTGTATGTGCCAGTTTTTCATTTCTCCTAAAATATCTGTCAATTCTTGCAGGCGATGAGCGACAAGGTTGTGTGACCACTTGTATAATAAATATAAAGGTAAAACCGGAGACCAGTTAATTTCTGCTAAAACAAGAATGTTTCCCTCACATGATCTATGCTTTTTCTTTTTCTTTTTTTCCTCTCCTTTCTGTGTTTTAGAAGGATGGTCTTTCTGGGGCAACTTACATGCATGTTCATGAAACTTGGCTGGAAGGATCAGGAGCTAAAGATCAATCAATATGGCCGTTCTAGATTGTGCTTACAGCTCATATCTCGGATGCAGACGCATATAACTATCTTCGATCACAATAAAACTAATCAAATGATCATTTTTCAGCTTTGTAATTTGATCCTTTTTGTATGAACATCAACTTTATGGTGATCGATTATTATATGATTATGAATATCGTTTTAGCATGATTGATATCCGTTGTAGTGTTTTTCTTCCACCAATCGTTTTATTTCTAGCAGGGACAATTGCACAATAACTGTACTAACTTTAATGTTTTTTTTAAATTGAGTATATGAATTTTAATTTACTTTTTCAGTATATTGATTTTTTAAAAAACTATTAATCTAAGTACTTTCTGTTCAAATTCTTGTCAATTGCTTTATAATTTGAGGTCGTGACATTATCATTTAACTCAGATTACTAAATTATGATTTTAGCATTTCATATTTGGAGGGAATTTTTCCTTTTCTATTATTATTTTTTTAGTAGTAATTTTTAAATTATTTAAGAATGAATGTTAAAATCATAATTTAATAGTTTAGGTTAAATGGCACATCATCAAGTAAGGAGCAAGTAACAGAAATTTGATGTAAAATTGTTTATTGATAGTTTGGAAAAAATTAATATATTCAAACTAAAAAGTTAAAATCATATACTTAGTTGAGATGATGTTAAAGATTAGTTTCTAGTATCATTAACCTAGGTGAGTATGATCCTGCTTCCCGCCGCGGTAAGATCCCATCAGCTGTCCGACTGTGCTGCACAATGGTGCGAAAGTAGTTGCTGCTCGAACGACATGTCGAACGGTTCATGGTCGGCCCGAAAAGGTACACTGTTTGTATGATCCAAATCTAGAAGCCCAGCCAACGGTGTAATTGAAGCATGTCAAATGATAAATAAATAGAACTTCTCAAAGCCCAGGTCAAGGTGAAATTTGAAGCATGTCAAAAGCCCAGCCTAAGTTGTAATTGAAGCCATCAAATAATAAGTAAACGCCCACCTACTGTGTAATTGAAGCATGTTAACAGCCCAGCCCAAGGTGTTTGAAGTCGTCAAATAATAAATAAATAGAATTGCAAAAAAGGGCCCAACCGGGTTCGAACCGGTGACCTCTTGATCTGCAGTCAAATGCTCTACCACTGAGCTATAGACCCTAATTGCGGAAAAATCATAAACATAATAATAAGTAGTAAATAATTTTACAGCTTCAGTATTGAGCAACTCAATTCCCACATTAAATAACATTGTAAAAATTGAAAATTGTAGAAATTCCTCTGGAGAAATGTTTTGTGTTTAGCAGCCAAATAATATTTTTTATACCAATTTTTTCTTATCAAAATAAAATCTATCTCAAGATTTTGTCTTATAACAAAACAAAAGAATATTGTAACAGTGACACGTATAGGATTTTTACAAAGTCAAATGCTATTGCAAGTACACCACACAAATAACTTTAAATTTTGCAAATACAAATTTGAAAAGGGACTTTTACTTATAATTGTAATCGCTTCATTATTACAAATGATCATGGAGGTTTATCGAGGTAGAAAATGCATCTACGTCCTTTGGTTTTACAAAAATCTCCGTATACTGCTCTATTTCTATTGAAAATAATTTTCAATCCTTTATATCGGTCTCTATCAAAGATTGATCTCCAATAAAAATCCATATGATTTTTTCATGATCCAACTTAATTAAATAAAATATACACATATAACAAAGTTAATAAAGAATATGTTTTTTTATTTTACAAAAAACATATAATTTATTTTAGATATATAAATTGGAGTATATATGCAGCAAGTCTCTCATGTGAAGGATACGTGTCCTATCTTTATATCTGAATAAATCAAATAATCTTACCTGTCTCTACTCTCAACCTAAATATTTATATTTGTTTTGATTCGAGTAAATGGAAACCTTATGCTCTGTTTGTTTGGTAAAAAACAAGTTTTATAGAAAAATTAATTCTTGGAGAAGTTATTTTTTAGGAAATTATTTTTCAAAAAAATATTTTCTGATATTTAGCAATTACATGAAAAAACTATTGAAAAATATATTTTAGCATTGGTTTAATACAGAAAATTAAAATATAAAAATAGTATGTGATTGTTACATCAATAAGTTTTGAGAAAACTTCAAAGAAGCATGTTCACAATTTCACAATATAAGATACATTTAGAAAAATTGAATAAATTTTCATAAATATTGACTTTAAAATTTTAATTCAAAAAATAAAATGTACTTTTTTTACCATCAAACCAATTCATCAAAATTACTTGAGACAAAATCAAGTTAATATTCACATTTAGTAAAAAAAAAATTTAATTAATCTTAACATTATTATTTTGGTAACTCAATTAAGATTTTTTTTTTGAAAATTGAACTAATAATTTAGTCTAAAAAATAGTTTTATAAATTATTAGTCATCTTTTGTAGATAATTATTCATTTGGTTTCAAAAGATTAATATTGAAATAATTTGTAACCAATTATTCACTACAATTACCAATAAAATTTTACAACCGACAAAAATTATAAATTATTAATTTAGTTGCAAATGAATAGTATAGAAAAAATAATATGTTTATTAATGAATTAATGAATTTTAATTTTTTTACAAAAAATTGTAGTCTTATAATAATTATTTTCAATCATTTAAATATAGTTTAGGTGGTGCTCGAGTTAATAGTAAAAAAAAATAAAGATAAATTATTAAAATATTTATTATAAAAATAATTTTAAGGTGTAAAAATAGTTTTTAAGAATATTTAATGTATTTATAAATAAAAAAATCAAATATTAGTAGAGATAGAGAAAAAAATAATTTGATATATTTTAAATAAAAAAAGATGTAGAAAAAAATTGTTAAAATATATTGAGAGCGAGACGAGTTTGGTGAGAAGGAAAATATTTTTTTAACTGAAAAAATATTTTTTAAAAAAATATTTTATAATTTTTTGTTAACTGAAAAATTATTTTTTACTGATTTTTTCTTAAAAGCAGAATAAATACTGAAAAATATAAAAAACAAGCTTTTTTCCGAAACAAACCCAATTTTTTTTTCCCCTGAACGGCGTAATTGTAATCCCAATTGTAACGCACCATGTTGAACCACGTACGCCGGTGGGTTCCGTTGACGTGTGTGATTCACAGACGTAACTGGCCCACATCATTCTCAAACTCTATTGCACTTCTACCATACATACATACACACATTCGTGTACTGACAAGACGTAAAGGTGATTAGTGTTCCTCGTTAAATCAAAACACAAAGGCGCTCTGATCGGTTCTAAGTTGTAACACAGAAGGGAAGAAGCAGCTTCGGAACATGGTCTCAACGACATTCATTATGTCACGCATGAAAATCCCTTTCTTTTTTCACACGTTTCAGCCTCAGGAAAGCACAAGTACAAGAAATTAAAAATGAACAAACCATACAGGTGCTTCAAAAGAAAGCTTCCCACGTAAAATTCCTATCTCTATTTCCCACGTGGCAGTCACACTCCCTCATCTCTTAGCCACGCGTGGGAAAAAAGAATTCGAAAAATTTAGCCCTATCCACTTCCAATTTTCAAATGCCAATTCCAAATCCAAAACCAACGCCATCTTCCTACTTTTATTTCCATTTAAAAGAGTCGAATTCCAGATCCAGATCTAAAACCCCCTCTGCTCCCCTCTCTCTCTCTCTCTCTCTCTCTGAAATTCAAGATCCATTATACAGTTTGGTAGTAATGGGTTTGAGGATTGTGTACGGAGTGGTGTTCCTTTCTTTCTCATGTGCCTGCTTCAAGCTTCTCCATCTCTTTCTGCACCCTGTATTCTACCTCACTTCATGATGAGTTCTTGAAATTTTTAAGAAAGAAGCTCTAATGGGTTGGTCAGATTTTATTTTTTTCTTCTTTTCCTTTGTTTAATTTGTATACGTTTTTCTTTAATTGGTTGAATTTACGTACTGTGTACTACTTCTACTCTACTTGTGATGCAATTGAACTAGGTTCTGTTATACTTGTTAGTCCTTTTGCATCGCAGGATATGAGTGCTTGTCTTGTGTTATTTGTCATGACATTCAAGCACATCTCATTACTGTCTTTTGTCTGTTTGGTTTTACTATGATGTTGTTGATATAATAACAGTTCAATGAGAATTTGCTAACATGTGCTATTCGGTTTTTTTCCTTTTTTTTTTGGATAATAAGTACATTTGAATTTTTCAATTTCTGTCCAGTACTGCTAATCTACCCCTATATTTTTGTTCGCGGTATATGTGGGATCCACAAAAGTGATTTCGTAAACGATGTTTATGGCTGGTTTACATTGTAATGGTCACTAGTTAATAAATCCAAACCCATATTTGTAATGCAAATTGCCTTTGTATCTAATTTGGATTAGGTAAAAAAAAAAAAAATCAAAGATTTCAATCCAAAAAATGATGGTTGTAGTTGTGAAATCTGAAGGAAAAAACAAAAGGTTATAATCTTGGAATTGGTCGAAATTTCAATTCTCATTGATTTTAACTTATGACACTTTGAGTATTCCATTGCTGCCTGTTCTAACAAGTCAGAAACTTGTTATTACTATTGGAAAGAAAAAAATACTTCAATCCACTAAACATTTTGGTGCAATGTGGTAATTCTCAATTGAGAAAAATTGTTATGTATGTTAGGAGTCGTATTTCATATTTTTGTAAAAGAGAGATCTCATGTTTTCGTGAGAGAAGAGTGCAATTTTCGAAATATCTCATTCGTTGAAAGATATTTGAGCAAGAGAAATTCAATTCTAAATTTGTAATTACAATTGGAATTTTATCTATATGTTCTTTGTAATCTTTTTAATGTTGATCGAGTCTTTATTTTTTATTTTATTTTGTTATTGTCTCTCTATTGTAATGCTATTAATTTATAAATTAGTGTGGCACACCATATTCTTGAATGCATGACATGTATGGCTCTGCTTCTGAATACGTGATACATGTCATATATAGGATTACAATAAAATAGACTACCACCTAGAAAGAAAAAA